AGATAAGTTCTAGTGTTTTGGGAGTGCATAATATCAATGAATGTGTTTGGCTATATGTATGCTTGCATAGAGTTAGTAGTCAAATTCTGTCACACCGTGAGCTTTTGAGCCTAGAGGCTGCCCACTGCAACTTATTTTCATTTTGAGTGTTTATTGCCTTCTTTGATTGTGTTACTTCTAGAACTTGCTTTATACCATTTCAGAACTACATGTTATATGATGACACGAGAATGATTTAGGCATTAGGATTTAGCCTTATAGCCTTTAAAATGACCACATCCTTATACATGTTATCTTTCCCCTAGTGAACCACTTTGAGCTTTAAAATAAATATAACACATTTTTCTTCATTAGCCAATCCCAAAGAACCTTAGCTCATAAAAAGAAGTCTCTTAACCCGTCCTTGAGTCAGTGGATGTCATTATTTCATTTATCTGTGCAAGATGACCAAAAGTGATGAAGTATGGGTGAGATTGGAGTTGAAAGGTGATTCTACAACTGAGTTGCTTTGGATGAGGAATTGGTTGTGATCAAAGGGGTGAAAAAAGAAAAAAAAAAGAAAAAAATGATATGTTCTAATTTTGTGGGTTGAAAATCTTGATAGCCCAAACTTTTGTGCTCATTTTATTCTTAAAACGATTTATGAGCAATGAAGGCATGATAGAAATTTGATGATTATGGGAAGAGTACTATTGAGGGTGATGTGGAAACGATGAGCTATCTATTCGGTCTTACCAGGAAAAAAAAAAGAAAAAAAGGAAAAAAAACAAAAAAATAGAAAAAAAAGATGAAAAAAGATTTTGAAAGTTGTTTTGAGAGTTTATCAGTGAAAAGGATGAGGAAGAATGAAGAAATGATTGCTTGTTGTGGTAGAGTTCATTGTATTGGTAGAATACAAGTTTCTTACTCTTGATATGGTGAAATTATGACTCTACTGATACCATGGACTTTATTTGTACTTCCTTATATCCTTTCTTTCTTAAACCACATACCCTTGGCCCCATTACAACCCAGAGATAAAGACCTTTTGACTTGTGTTGTTCATATAATTTTGGTAGTGGAGTTTTGGTGGACAAGCAAGCCTACGGCAAGTGCACGCTCAATAGAGGATGGTGTGTACCTTTCGTATATATTTATGAGAGATTGAGTGAACAACCGTGAGGACTACTATTCTCTATTGTCTTGTGTGCATATAGCTTTGAACTCTCATGAAGTATTATGTGTTTACCAATTCCCATGAATTGAATGCCTAGTTGACATGATTATGGTTGGTAGTTTGATTTCATTGCATAAGTTTGCTTGGGGACAAGCAAAACCTTGAGTGTGGGGAAGTTTGATAAGCTTAATTTCTAGGCATTATTTAAAGTAATTTTAGTTAGTGAGTTGCATAAATAAATTAAGTTTTAGGGTCAATTTTATTATAGATATTACATTTATATGTATGTTACTAGTTTAGATTGGTTTTAATAAGTATTAGATTAATGTTGCATTTTTATGAATATAATAGTATTTTATTTTAGCTATAGTATTTTATTACTTGGTTTTATTAAGTTGTGTCATTAGTTTATAATTATTATTAATTTAACTTTAGTTTATTTTATTTTGTGTTCCTTGGAGTTAGTTGCGCAGCAATAAAGAAAGAAAAGGGAAATGAGTTTTGCCTTCTTGCGTATCCCAAGAGAAAGAAAAAGAACCCTTTATAAATAGTTTTAGGTTTGGGGTGCGTACGGCGGTAGACGGGAGCAGAAAGAAAAAAGAGGGCGAAGGGAAAAAACGAAAGCCTGGGGAGAAGCAGTAGGGGTCTTCGGCGAGGAAAGGAGGCAGAAGACATTCGAGACTTCATCGCAGAGGAATTTCTGAGCTTCAATCACAGCTATCATCTCTTAGGCTTGAATTATTTTTCTTCTCTATTTTATTTCTTGTTTAAATTTCCAGAATAATATTCTTTGAATTGTTTATACATTTAATTATGATTATTGGCTAGAACTTTAATTAGGGATTTAGATTAGCCTATATTAGATTAATTGACTATTTTTCATGTGTTGATTCTTCTAATTTCAGTTTAATAATTGAATTTGATTATATTTATTTTATGTATTTTAATTGTGGATTGTGTGACTGGCCATTACATAATTCTAATATTAGGGTTCATAAGAAGAACTGACAGGTGAATTATGAACCTAGAACTCGTAAGATAAACACAATTGACCTAAACTAGACATAGCTTTAGGTATTTGTGGTGAATATTTGATTGTTGCTTAATGGGTTTAACTAATGTTGGTGAGATATCGACAGATGATCATAGTTAATTGGATACAACCTAGTAGCTCGACGGAGTATTAGGATATATTTGAAGCAATCATCACTATAGTCATAAGAATTAATACTTAGGAGAGTTAGTTAATTATCTAGTAGGTAAACCCAAATCCCTAGTCTTCTCTCAATTGGAATTTTCTTTTCATTAAGTTCATAAATATTATTTTTAATCACATTAATTATATTTATTTGAGATTTTCCTTATCAACAATTTGATTATTAAGGATAACAGTTAATAGTGTTCTTCGTGGGATCGACCCTGGAATACTCCAGGAATTTATACTGTGATTGACTCTGTGCGCTTGCAGATTATAGCAATCAAAGTGATCAAGAAGATGAAATTTTTAAATCCTTATTTGCCAAAGTTGCCGAATCTGGTGATGTTGTTTGTCAAACCATTGGAGAAAAGTTAGTTGTACAAAATCAAAAGATGGATCAACAACACACGGATACACGAGTAAATCTGAAGGAATTAATGGAGCATCAAAATATTTTGAAGACTCAGATTGACAAAGCAGAAAGAATCTTGAAAGGAAAATTGACAAAAGGCTTACTTGAAGTGATTCAACTGATGAAGAAGGAACGTGAAGCAGCTGAAAAGATTAACAACGAACGCCACTTGCGACAAGTCAAGATGATTCAAGATCAAGAAAGCCGAATCAACAAACTTGAAGTTGAACTCACAGTTGCAACAAACAAGCTGGAAAATGTACAAGCTGTTTCTATTGAAACATACAATAATGTTGAAGCTGTGAAGGCAAACCAAGACCGAGACTGTAAAACCCTTGCATTTTTGGTTGATAACGCCAAAAGGGGGGAAGAAATTCTCAGTCACTTGGCTTTGCAACAACAAGAATTCATTCTTGGAAGCCAACAACAGCCAGTAATATCGACCAAAGGTAGAGGCTGAAGTCGCGGATAATCCTCACAAGGACCATCTCAGATTGGTTTTGCTCAGTTCGCGAATCCTAGTCTTGGTATGATTACATCAAAGGTTGCTGAAACTCGTGGCTGGTTTGAATTCTCTAAAGGTACCGCCACTCAGACAACAATATGGACTAAGGAAAATCTGCCAAGCATGATCAAGAAATGGCCTGTAGCCGATCAAGCCCAATGGATCTCGGAGAAGAATAAAGAAGAAGAAGGCAAAAGGAAAAGAACCGAGATGTGGTATGAACTAAGAGATTTCACTGGAAATATGGGCATGAATCTTGGAGAAGAAAGAAGTTTCGAAGAATGTGTCTTATGGTGGGAAGCCGGAGTTCTTCCGGGCAACAATATCATAGAAGCTTTTGGATATTACATGGCCGGACAACTTACAAAGAGATTTCAGAATGCAAAGTTCAAAGATGATTTCTTCAAGCTCAGAGAACATGTCAAGGACATTTTGAAGAAAGACATGGGAGTGAAGAAACCCAGAAGGTAATCTGAAAAATCTCTTAAGCTGATGTTTTCGCTATTTTTGAACCCCTGTTGTGTTTTTCTCTAAATATTCAAAATATCTCAATAATAATTTCCTATGGTCTATTTTGAGTTTAATATTTTATTTGTCTTTTGTAATTAGACCATCGTGAATTAAAAAGACAAGGAATGTCAAAACGCACATAAAAATAAAAAATTGATGATGATAAAAAAAATAAAAAATTCAAGATGCGTTTAGGAGCTTGTCAAAAAATTAATTCACAAGTTTTCTTTTGATTCTGTCTAAAAAACCATTTTTAAACTCATCTTGGCTTTGTCAAATAAAACTGAGCAAAAAGATTATTTTCTAAAGACTTAAAGCCAATGACTGAGTATAGGTTTTGACATTATCAAAAGGGGGAAAATTGTTAGGAATAAAGTGTAATGGTTTTGATATGCCAAATATGTATTTGTAGATCCCCCAATTTTATTTCATAGGTCTAGTAGAGTCTTAGACCATGATCGGGAAATTATTTTATTTGCAAAAGAGAAAAACAGAGGAAGATGCATGAAAATAGAAGAAGAAGATATCAAGCCGAAAATCAAGAATTTGTCTTGGAGAAAATGACAAATTGAAGAAGAAGATGAATGATATAATATTCACGTCAATGCTACTCAAGAAGATATCCCAGAAGAATTTTCGTGAAAGAAAATTAAGTTTGGAAGATTGCATGAATTTGACTTGGAGATCAAGAATCTATGGAAAGAAAGGAGTACATCAAATATGATTGGAGATTTAACACTACAAAAAAAGCCAATATAGCAACGGTTCTAGCGACGGACATGTTCCGTTGCAAACGTAGCGACCGACTAGCGACAAATTAGTGACGGATTTCAAATTTTTTGTTAAATGAACATCTAGCGACGGTCTAGCGACGGACTTGGCGATGGAAATGTTCCGTCGTTAAATCCGTAGCTAATATTTGGCGGCAAACTTTGGTGCCAAAATTAGAGACAAATTAGCAACGGATTAGTGACGGCATTTTCGCGGGGTTACTTCGTTATTTTAATTGCTACAACCTAGCGACGGATAGAAGTATCCGTCGCTAGATACTACAACCGAAATGTGTTTTTGGTTATATAGTAGCGACGGATGTAAAAATCCGTCGCTATCTAGCTACGGATTTAAAAATCCATCGCTAGATAGCTACGGGTGTATAAATCCGTCGCTACCTAACTAAATTTATGTAACGCGAGTTTTATAGAATATGTTAACGACGGAAATGCTGGTCCGTCGCTATGATTATTAAGGGGATATTAACATATATAATATAGTGACGGATATTCTTCCGTTGCTAAACTTTTTTTTTTCGGTTTAACATTCATAATCTAGCGACGGATATTTTTCCGTCGCTAAGGTTATGTATTGGATTTTAATTTTTAACATATATGTAATGAATTTTTAACATATATATATTTACCGATGGATAATAGATGCCGTTGCTAACTTCACTTAGAATTGCATTCCATCGCTTAGAACCCTAGCTACCACTCAGACAGACGATATATCGCTTTAGACCGAAGACTTCCCCGCCGCTCCCATCGCTCAGACGACCACCGACCACCGCCCACCGCTCGTTGCCTCCCACCGCCGACCGGTCGCTGCCTCCCACCGCCCACCCCCCACCGCGTCTGCGACAGTACTCGGCGGTTCTTACTCGGCCATCTCCCTGCGACAGTATCGGTCTCCACCGGTGTAGAATTCCCTCCTCCGGTGGTTCTGCCTATTCCGGTCTCCGTACTCGGCCTTCTCCCTATTCCGGTCTCCGTACTCCGGTGGAATTCCCCCCTCCGGCAAAAGGCAGTCCGACTCCAGTTGTCATATCTCTGTTCGGCTTCATAGCGACTCCAGGTAATTCATTACGCCATTGAATTTAGCTGATAGATTGCGGTAGAGTTAAATTCCTTAATTTTTCTTTGTTGTTTCTTTTTGGGATTTTGTCTGTTTATTTGTTGGTTAAGTTTTTCTACTCGGTTGAATCTGAGTAGTAATTTAAAATTGGGAACCAATTTCACAGGGTTGAGATGGAGTCAAAGCTCATATTTCAATTAATTTACCTAATAATTCCTGGAATAAAAACAATTTTTTTTAAAAAAAAAGATGAATTATGTAATTTATTGGAATGGTTCACTGTGAGGTTGAATTGAAGTTCTCTGTGCTCTAGGTTTATGAAACTTTAGTTCTGTAGATTGATGGTGGTGAATGTAACAATATGATCTGTTGGCTTGAAGATGATTGCTCATTGGTTTTATCTGGTGTATATTGTTAATTATTTCCAAAATAAGAGCTGGGGCATGGATACACCCTTTAATTTTCAAAGGTTTTATCTGGTATAAATTGTTGCATTACTTCCAAAATAAGAGCGGGGCATGGATACACCCTTGAATTTATTTGCTATGGCTCACCACTTTTTAAGCAAAATATCTTTTTTCCTTCTTTATCTATTGTGCCCGTTGGCTGTTGAAAGGATCCATTAATTTCATTCTTTTTCATTCTTGGTACTAATTTGCTTGAGATGGCAACTTCTTTTTTACTCCGTCCATCCCATTTGGGAGAAGACTTGTAAGAGGTTGGTTAATTAGCGTATTGAAAAAATGAAAAGATCTAAGTAGCCATGTAAGTTATATATTCTTTAACAACATATTTGGTTCACATAATGAATTTTAGAAGAACAAAAGTCCTATTGAATAGGAAATGGAATATGCAAAGAATAGAATAGGAATTCTATTCATTGTTTGGTTTGTGGAAGGGGGATTTCATTGCATTTTGTAAGATCAATGATCAACAATAAATATTAGTACATTTTGCCGTGAAAATAAAATCAAACTAGTGTAATATAATTTGCAGACATGCATTTATAATTAATTAATTTAAACATATGATCATATATAATTAAATAAATAATATTTTGATTGGTTTTCATTATCAATCCCCTCTATTTTTGGTCTCCACTTACTCATTATAAAGAATTTTAAATTGGTTTCTTTTTATTTGTTCCTTAGTGCTTCAAATCCCACTGTCTGGGCTGCTCAAGAAAGCCAAAGAAAATCTGAAATTTGCCAGAGGTGAGCTCTTGTCTTCATCTATAAGCTGCTACCAAATTTGCTTTAAAGTTGTCTTTATTTATTTATTTATTTATTTTTGGTAATTCTGTTTTCTTAAATATGATGCCATTTTGCTACAAGGATAATGTAGGTTTTTATTTTTGATGTATGAAAATATGCATGCTTCATTATTTGAATGTCTTTATTTGGATGCATGATTTTTTTTTTAAATGAAATGTAGCATTGAAATAGGTGATAAATACAATGACTTCAAATCGTCATTGGATGTATAGACGAATGAGAAATGGTCTTCTCACTCAGGAGTTTTTGGGTGGTCTTGAAACTTTCATCCAATTTGCGACTAGTCAACATAGTTGGATGGACGGGGAAAGAATTAGGTGTCCATGTACTCAGCGCAAGTGTCAAAACACCAAGTTTTTAGATGTGCCTACCGTGAAATACCACTTAGCAAAATATGGATTTGTATCGGACTACTATGTTTGGCGCTTCCATGGCGAAAGAATTGTGAGGGTAGATGTTGATCAAAATGTTGGTGGCCCATCTCAAATGGCTAGTGAAGAAGCATCTAATACTTACCACACAATGGTTATGGATGCTGCTGGTCCTCAATTTAATGTGGATGAAATAGAAGAATCGCCAAATATAAGAAATAAGTTGTACGGACGAAGTGAAAGATGCCTAATTTATTATGTGAAATGGCTCAAGTTTGAATCTCACCATCAACAATTTTACAAGGTAAAATTTGAGAAGCCAAAATTAATTAAGTCTGATGAAGTTGGGCGCTAGTTTGGCTTTGGGCGTAGTGCAGGCGATTTCATAGGAATTGAAATTGGGAGCTAGTTTCAGAGAGCAAGTTTCACATGGGATCCAATTGAGGTTGTAGTATAGGATCCAATGCATGAATTGATAATTGAGGTTGTAGTATGGGATGCAATTTCAAATTGGGGACCGATTCAAAGAAAAGGGGACCGATTCAAAGAAAACAAATTGAATTGAGATGAAATTCAATACCAGGAGAAGTCTGGGAGCCAATTTCGAAGTCAAAGTCATTAATTCAAATTGGGAAGCATCTGAAAGCACTAGGAGTAGATTGGGAGCCAATTACAAGTCAAAGTCAATTGGGGCCAATTATAAAGGAGAAATTCAAATTGGGTGCCAATTACAAGTCAATTGCAATTGAGTGTTAATTACAAAGGAGAAATAAGTCAAAGTCAAGTCAAAGTCAATTGGGGCCAATTACAAAGGAGAAATTCAAATTGGGTGCCAATTACAAGTCAATTGCAATTGAGTGTTAATTACAAAGGAGAAATAAGTCAAAGTCAATTGGGGCCAATTACAAAGGAGAAATTCAAATTGGGTGCCAATTACAAGTCAATCAATTGGAGCCAATTACAAAGGAGAAATTCAAATTGGGTGCCAATTACAAGTCAATTGCAATTGAGTGTTAATTACAAAGGAGAAATAAGTCAAAGTCAATTGGGGCCAATTACAAAGGAGAAATTCAAATTGGGTGCCAATTACAAGTCAATTGCAATTGAGTGTTAATTACAAAGGAGAAATTCAAATTGGGAGGAAGTTCAAAGCCAGTTTGAAGTCTGAGAACACCCAGACGTGAGAATGAAGAAGATGAAGATGAACTTACAGTGAAAATATTCTCACAAGGAAAAATACTACTTTAACTAGTATGAGATTAAATTGAAGAATATTTTTTAAATCCCAAAGATACAAGGACCACTTCAGAGCTAATCAGAGAAGCCGTTCTACACCCAGATATTCCAACTCAACGTAAAACTAGAGGAATATCAGATGAAGTTTGGGAAACCATTCGCATGAAGTTCAAGCTCTCAAACGGCTAGCTTATCCTTTCTGACATCTTTGCAGAAGATAAGATAAGATCTCTGACAAAAAGATACAAGTTTTCAAAAATGAGATCATCTCTTTCCAACGGACAGATCCTCATTACCAGCTATAAAATGATGAAGATATGAAGACTTGAAGATAACGAACTCATCAAAGGGGAACGAATAGAGCATAGAGCAAGATATACGAACTCATCAGAGCTTAAAAGAGCAAAGAGCTAAAATCTCATTTGGTACAGAGCATACCAAAAATCTTCAAGTGAGAAGTGAGAAAAGAAAAAGAACTCAGAGAGCTTCAAGAGAAAAATATTCTGAGAGTTCTTAAACAGAGCAAAGCAGAGCATAAAAATCAAGTGCTTTACTTGATACACTCAAAAAGAGAAAACACTCAGAGCATTCAAGAGAAATCATTCCAGAGTGTTTATCTTCATCATTGAAGATCAACTACAGGTCTCAGAAGTTGGAAGCAAGACAACACTTGTTTTGGAGCAAAATAAGAAAAGGGAGGAAAGTAGCACGGAGCTGTGAAATCCTGGATTGTCACACGGAGCTGTGAGATCCGAAGCAGCAGTGTCGGAGGCACTGGGCGTGATTAGTGCGGGCTTTGTGATCAAAGCACTAGATCACGGGATACGTTTCTACCGGAGTGTGGAAGACGGGGGGAAAGTAACGCGGAGTCGTGAAATCCTGGGATAGTAGCGCGGCGACGTGAAACTCGAAGCAACAGTGTGGTGTCACTGGGCGTGATTAGTGCGGGCTTTGTGATCAAAGCACTAGATCACGGAAATTCATTGTATCTTGGAACCAAGAAGTGGTGGATATAGTGAATTGCTCTGGGAGATAAGAGCAAGTTGAGTAGGAGGATTACACCACCTCGCGAACCACTATAATTGTCTTGTGTTCTTTACTGCTTTCTTTACTTACTGCTCTTTACTTAATTGCTCTATACGAGATATACTGCTCACACAATCTCACACACACTTTATGTTTATTTATTTCCGCTGTGCACCATACTCTAACAATCTATTTAAGAGTTTTGGTTTATCTCTGGCTTAGCAATTGTTGTGCTGTGCGAAAAAGTTTGAAAGTCTATTCACCCCCCCCTCTAGACTTTCACCTTACCTCTTTTGGGACCAACAAGACAAAAGTGTTCTTACATATATGTTAGATGTACTTGTCCCTCCTCCCCGATCACCGTGCCATATCCATTTTGTATAACTTAGATTAATTCCATCACAAATTAGATGATTATATATGTCGTCTGCATTAATTTTCTTAGATTACAACACTTCTTATAAGGACAAAAAAAAAACCCCATTATTATTCGGAAGACGACGTTTTGCAAAGTCTATGATGGAATAATATACTATGCCATATAATGTTACTCAAAGAGGAGAAGTCATGCATGACTAGAAAGAAGGGAGGATTAAGGGAAGTTACAACTACACAAATGATATTATTTAAAGACTCCGAGCTGCAAACAAATGACTCAGGCCAGTCTCAAATAAGAACCTCTCTTCTACCCCTTCTATTCCATGGCCATGGCCACCTATGTACTACACCTACAACCTATAATAAAGAATTTTGGCTTGGCTTAGTGTAACACCCCACTTTTCTTAAACTTATATACAGTTCTAAAACCAAAATCAAGATAAACTAAATAGCGGATAAACAAACTTAAATAACAAACTAGTGGGAATGTCACCGTCACAACGACCTCTCCACGGTGATTTCACATGCTAAGGAGAGAACTAAGTCATTAGTCGAACTAACATTAAAATCACTTAATTAAAATCACTTGGGGGAAAGAAACACCCCGGTGTCTATCACCAAACATAATTAACATAAGTTTACAATCCATCATCATAACATCATAAAAGTAAATGGAGTTTAGACTATTAGATCTACTAAACTAGTCTAACTCGATCAACTCTCAAACGCTGGGCCCACCTGAAAGGGGTTTGGAAAATAGACAAGTAGAAAACACCCGTTAGCACGAAGCTAAGTATAACTCCACTCAACCCTGTAAAATACTACAGTATATAATTTGGAAAAACATTTAATTCACATTCTCAATTTAAGCAATCTCAATCACTTAGACAAAACCTTATTATAAACCACAAAGCTTTCTATATGCTCACAACCAAAAATATCAATAGGTATACTTTAGCGATATCAAACCTAACAACATGCTCATACTAATGCATACTTAACATAACAAATCACAATCCTGTATACCCTTTCAATAACAATCTCATGCCAACACATAACTTAACAAACAATTTCATCCTATCAAACAATAAGAAATTATTCTCATGCTTTCAAGTTCTCATCATGTAAACTAGATATACATCAATACGCAACTAAGGCAATCATACTCAATACACAATCCCGGGTAATCATTCTCAATATGCAATCTAGTGCAAACATTCTCATTATGCAATCTCGTGCAATACTATACTCAAACGCAATCTCGTGCAAACATTCTCATTATGTAACCTCGTGCAATACTATACTGAAATGCAATCTCGTGCAAAAATTCTCATTATGCAATCTCGTGCAATACTATACTCAAATGCAATCTCGTGCAAACATTCTCATTATGCAATCTCGTGTAATACTATACTCAAACGCAATCTTGTGCAAACATTCTCATTATGTAATCTCGTGCAATACTATACTCAAATGCAATCTCGTGCAAACATTCTCATTATGCAATCTCGTGCAATACTATACTCAAATGCAATCTCGTGCAAACATTCTCATTATGCAATCTCGTGCAATACTATACTCAAATGCAATCTCGTGTAATACTATACTCAAATGTAATAAGATACTACTCCCTCTGTCCCATTTTATGTAATACGGGAGCGCGCTAGAACCGGAGCGTAGAAGTAGAGTAGTTTCCCTTTCGGCCTGCGTGCCATATTATGCATTGTGTTTCATTAGATATTAGTTAGACCGCCTGTGCACCTGGGTTCTCCAGCCCAGGTGTGGCATAGCACCCCGTACACTTATGATATACTTTGGGATGTAATGAGATATCACCTTTATTATATAAGCTTAAAATGTCTTGAAAATCTGGGGTGTTACAGTTGGTATCAGAGCCTAAGTTTGACCCTAGGAAAAGACTCTTAAGAC